ATACGACCCGACTCCGCCGTCTAAACGGATATCTACCGCAGAAAAGGCCTAATAAACAAGTCAAGTGAGCTTCTCTGCGCGAGAAAACTTGGCCCTCTACGGCAACCGCCGTCATACTCAGACAATTATTGCCAGCATCCGCGGCCCCTACCGTCGTTTTTTGGCGGTGTGCGGGCGCTAAATTCTTTGACTGACCATTCGCGGCCCTAGATCTATTTGTTCGGCAACTCGCGGCTCAATGCTAGCGAGAGAAAAGCCGCGGGCTGGCCCAAGACAAGACACTCGGGCGAGCCCCGGGCTTTACAGGACGCCCTGCATATTTGCTTATCGGGCACACGGCCCGGTAGAACCATTCTGGCGAGCCCCAGCCTGCTGAACGCCACAATTTTTACACGCTGCAAGCAAGAACTTTGCTCGCGTGAGATACGCCGCGGTGGTTGAGGCACCCTGAACACTTTGGTCTTCGGTTATATAAGATCAGCTTATGACTAACAACGAAGTCCTCAGTGGGGCCCTCGGCCAAATTTTGATGTAGATCCTGAACCCATGCGAAGGCTAGAAGAATGAGAACACGAGTTCATAGATTTCTATGAAAATATTTCTGCATTTAGCTGGTGCATATGGGGCGCACCCGCGGACGTCTATCGCGCATTTATCGTTTGATTGCCGGGACACCCACGGATTTCGTTTGGGCACTTATCGGCGCATCCGCGGGTAGATTTCGGTGGCTTGGCGTGCGTTTATTCTACCACCCGTGGCATGGATGAAACGTCGGCCGGTGCCCTTCCGCGGGTGGTCGTAATAATTGTTTGAGATAGCTGTCATGCAAGACTTGACCGGGAGGCACACACATTAGTATCCGATGTGCTTTTGAGGTCTCGCTCTAGCATATTATCATCTGCTCCAGTCTATCACAAATCATATGAACGGGGTTTGTTTAGATTTTGAAGACGAACTTAGGCGCTGGTGAGACGACTTTTCTGGGACCAGAACCGCTGAGTTCTGTAAAAATGGAACTGAAAGTCTGACTGCGTGGCGGTAGAAGGTTGTGCGCAACGATGGAATATACATTATTGACTGAATTTTGTTGATTTTATGTCATTTTGTTGATTTTTAAAAACTCTACGGACTCAAAAAACGACCTAATATATTCATTCCGAAGGAAGTTACGGCGAGTAGAATTTAGAAACGCGTGATTTTTCCAAAATTCACCAACGCTTCTATCTCTTTGAAAGACAGTCTGCAGCTACTTTCAAACTAACACGATAACCTACAAAATCAGTATCGAATAGTGCTTATTGTTATTTTTCGTGTTACACAGACGCTGCGCTGCATCCTTGCGAAAGGACCTCCACAGAAAAAATTCGAGAAAACTGGAAACAAAATATCGAGGGCATGCTGTATACCAGAAGATTTGCCTTGACGAGCTGAACACAATGCTGTCTCTGAATTCAGATTATATTCATTCCGAAGGAAGTTATGGCGTTGCGTATTCTGCGTGATTCCCGTGATTCCGCGGATTCTGGAATGTCGCAAACTCCCCGAAATATCGTTGACCCTGGCGTAAATCCCAGAATTCCGCGAAGTTTACGGAATTTTTGCACATTCTGTGAGCGGTATTGTAATCTTGAGCAGATTTTAGAACAAATTCGACCAGGGTGACTCTCTACCATACTCCTACAGTATACTTTTAGTGTGCCATCAGCGACAAATCAATGACAGTACTGTTATCAGCACATTGAACAATTCAACCAAACAAAAATCTGCAAGATTGAGCGAAAGCTTACTGTCTAGCGTACACCTATCATATCCTGCTAGATTGTGGGACATCTATATACTGAATGATGCGTTTCGCGGAGCTGAATCGAATGTCCTCGGATTTAGAATTTGTCCATTCTGAAGCGAGATACGGCGATGCGACGCGTATTCCGACGAACCTTAGTGATGTGCGGCGCACTCCGCTGCTCTCCGGACTCTAGTGGAGTGTGGCGTACTCTGCCGTACTTCGGCGCACTGCAGCGCACGCGGACCTCAGTGCAGTGTGGCGCACTCCGCTGCACTGTGGACTGCGTCGCACTCCAGCACACTGCAGCGCACTCCGGCGGAGTGCACCGCAGTCCAGCGACTTTTTTGACGAATCATGAGCAGTATTGTAGTATGTTAATTTGCTGTTGGTTGCATTTTGATGGGGCACTGTAGGAGTGCGGCAAAGACTCTGGCATAGATATGTTCAGAGACTTGCTTAGAGTGACTTCTTGATGCGTTGATTGCAAAAATTATGCGCAAGTCGTAAAAGGTTGCTAACAAGAAGGAGGCTTGCCTTCCTTTTTTATCGCTCATTTTCGGATGGAAAAGGAAGATAAAAAAATGATTGGATTGCATGAGATGATAAAACTCTTTAAGAGTTTTATCAACAACAACCAACACATTGCGTTTTCCGGAAAATATGTATTTTAAAAATTTTCAAAGTATTTTTCTAAAAAACTCCGAAAATGGCCGCGTCACAATGCAGCGGTAATTCTTCGAACGTGAAAAGTTTTTTTCAGGTCTTCGTTTGGAGCGAAAACAGGAGTTTTTCGGATAATTAAGCATTATTATACAGCTCATCGAGGACAATAATCAATTGGTGGTTACTTCCAAAAAAAACCCAAACTTACATTTTATTTTGCTTTTTTTCAAGAAAACTTTCAATTGATTTCCATTCAATTCCAAGATAAATTTCCTCACAAGGAAACCCAGTCAAAACATCCTAACAAAGCTGTTGAGAAAATAGATGCTCTTTGTCATCCTCTATGCATTGGACGTGTGCTATTGAGTTTCTTTGCTGGAAATGGCTCTTGACAGTGCGTGCACATGACCCCATCTGCACCTCACCTCTGACTGCACCGAATTTGCTGGCTTGTAGCTCGGCCAGCGTTCGCTCTACGAGCCTGCAGGCAGGCTCATTCGAAAGAGCCGAGTTCCTCGACGCGATGATATGCAAATGATTTGAGTTTGGTAAGTCCCGGAATTTTAGGGATGGGGTGAAGCGCAGCCTTAGAGGTAATTGGGGGGAAGGCTCTTATCACTACCAAAAAAGTCTTGGAGCTCCGAAATGGATCTGTTACAAGAAAGTTGATAGGTTCGGACTTTCAGGATGGAACTGGTAGCGAAATGAGCTCTGTTCAACTTTGGCTGAAAAATCCTTAGCCTACCACTAAAGCTGCGCTTATTCACCCCATCCGTAAACTCTAAGGTATTCCCCAAACTCAACTTATTTGCATACCGTCGCGTCGACAAGGTCACGCGCTTTCGAAGAGCCTATGCACAGACTCGTAGAATGACTGTCGGCCGAGCTACAAACCTGCAAAGCGGTGCAAGTCAGTGGTTAGGTGCAACTGGGGTCATTTGCACGCATTGTCAAGAGCCATTTTCAGCAAAGAAACTCACTAGCACACGTCTGCATAGATAATGGCGAACATCCATTTTATCCGAACAGCTTTGTTGGGACGTCTTGAATAGGTTCCCATGTGAAAATTCAGTTTGAAGAAGGGAATTGAAGTTATTTCTCAAAAAGAAGCAAAATACAATTCAAGCTTGAGTTTTTTGGAAGTAACCACTACTTGATTATTGTCCTCAATGAGCTCTATAATATAGCATGTTTATCTGTCAGAAAAACTTCTGTTTTTGCTCTAAAGAAAGACTTAAATATAAATTTTCGCGTTTGAAGAATTATTGTCCGCAACATTGTGACGCGGCCATTTTCGGGCTTTCTTTAGAAAAATAAAATACATATTTCCAGAAAGCGCAATGTGTGAGTTGCAGATCTTGAAGAGATCTAAGAGCTCTATCTCATGAAATCCAATATTTTTTTATCTTGTTTTCCATCCCAAATGAGCGACGAAAAAGGAAGGCGGCTTTTCCGCAACTTTTTGGCGGTCACTATATACGTTATCAGCAGAATGAGTAATCCATCTGCACAAAATTTTAAAGGGATCCGCGAAAACCGACTACCTACCGTATACACACCGTATGCCAACAGTAGCCCTTATGTACCAGAATGCGCCTTGCCGAACTGAGTCGAAGCGCTTTTGAAGCGCCTGTTTTTTTTTGAATCTGCGTGATTCTATATTATACTAGCTGGCTTACCCGGCTCCGCCGTATGTTCCGAACAGAAAATTCCATTTCTTAACCGATCCGGACCAAACTTGGCACACATACACTTCGGGCCCCGGCGGGTGTCACAGCCCACTTTTCGTTATCGATCGATGTCGATTTTATCAATTTTTTGCGAAATTTGGGCTAGGGGGCTGGGATTTGGCACAGGGGGATAATCGAGCGTGCTGATTACGAATACGATATTAGTTTTCGAAACCGTGCATTACTTTTATCGATTCTATCGATTTTTTGCAAAATTTGAGCTAGGGGGCTGGGATTTGGCACAGGGGGGTAATCGAGCATGCTGATCACCCCCGTGAGGGTGATCAGCAAACTTTGCAAAAAAATCGATAAAATCGATAAAACTAATGCACGATTTTAAAAACTAATATTGTATTCGGAATCCCCATGCTCACTTACCCCCCTGTGCCAACTCTCAGCCCCGTAACTCAAATTTTGCAAAAAATCGATAAAATCGATATCGATCGATACGAAAAGTAGCCTATGACACCCGCCGGGGCCCGAAGTGTATGTGTGCCAAGTTTGGTCCCCATCGGTTCAGAAATGGAATTTTCTATTCGGAACATACGTACACACAGACAGACAGACAGACAGACAGACATACAAACAGACATTCAGCTTTATATATAAGATGTAGTACGGCACGTCTTGAGAAGAAATTATTGTAACTTTTGCACCCCCTTCGCCTCCCCTCTCGCGTTACCAACTTCCTCTTTTTCTTTCGATGGCGAGCCGAAAGTACAGTGCCTTCGACAATGTACTTCGACAATTTCCAAGGTCTTTTAGCAAAAGTAAGGATTTTTTTACGCAAAAATCTCAACTTGAATAAAAACAAAATATACCGAAGAGTTCATCACGAGAGACTGCGTGTTCTTGTTGCGTTTTCGTCGTTTCTTCCTCAGCACTATGGCCGGTATAGGAGGACCACCGCCTTCTGCAAAATTAAACATACACAAGTATCAGTAACCGCTTTTCAGAACTTTGTTTTCATAAAGGGCTCAGCTTTATCAAGTTCATTTTGTTTAATAGTCTGGTCCGGCGTAAGCATCATTTCTTAAAGGTGATTTAATACCGTATACGAGGTGCAGAGAAGCAAGATCGTGATGTTCGTCTGATACAATACCACCCGTAATTTTTGAAAAAAATTGGCGACGGCACCTAACTCACGCGGCGCCGCCGCAGTTAGGCGGCAAGCGCCGCGTCGCGCGACAAAGTTAGACGGAAAAGCAGCACTTGCCGCCTAACTTTGTCGCGCGACGCTTAACTCTTCTAGAAAAAAGACCTTATCTTGATTCGAAATTTATGAATTGTATATTTAAGAGTACCATTCGACTCAGCTCGGCGAGGCGCATCTTCCAGTTTACAGATGGTTGTGGGATACAAGTCTTTTTCTTGGAATTTTAGTGTAAACGGATCATTCAGTGTGCTGATTCCAGAGGCTGCATAATTCTGTTGAGCACTACAGGAATAGAGCAGGTATAGTTTAAAAGCTCATTGCATGGATATGTGTGAAACTGGGCTTTTCTCAGCGAAATATGATGGGTCCCAAAATGGAGGAAGACAAAGGGAAATGGTTGATAATCGCATGAGAAGCACATATCGCGGAATGCCGCGCGTGCTGTGCAATTTACAATACCACCCACAGAACGGGAATTTCGCGAAATTCCAGAAATTTCGCGATTCCGGAATATCGCAAATTATGCAGCGCCTAACTCCCTTCGGAATGAATACATTCTAAATACGAAAGCAGCATTGTGTTCAGCTCGTCAAGGCGAATCTTTCGACATACGTCATGTCATCTATATCTAATTTCCACTTTTCTCAAATTTTTCTGAGGAGGTCCCTTTGCAAGTATGTAACGCAGCGACTATCCAACATAAAAGCTTCCAGTAACTACCATTCGACAGTCTCTTCTTCTACATTATAGTGCGCTGGAAAGCTGCCACAGACTTCTTTTCAAAAGAGAAAAAAGCGCTGGTAATTCTGGAAAAATCACTCGTTTTCAGATTCTACTCGCCGTAACTTTCTTTGGAGTGGATATTTTCTGAATCCGAAAATTGCATTGTGCTCAGCTCATCAAGGAAATCTTTCGGCATGCAGAATGTCCTTGATATCTCGATTTCAGTATTCTCAAAACTTTCTGCGGACGTCTCTTCGCAGAGATGTGAAGCAGCGCGTATTGCTCTCAGTAGATTCAGAAAGAAATCTTCGATAGTACTTTTTCTATAGATTATGGAGCGCTAGAAATTAGAGGCATACTTCTTTCCAAAGGAGATAGAAGGGCTGGTGAATTCTGGAAAAATCATGTCGTTCTAAATTTTTCTCAACGTAACTCTAAAATATGAGCTCTCTTGCTAAGCAGATGTAATTCTCGTGATCAGCAGGTCGGATAACCCTTATGAGCAAGTTTTCCAAGATGTTCGTGTTATTCATTTTTTCTCAATTTACGCTCGGAAGCTCGCCGATGGATTTTGGTCAAAATACTGATACTCTTGAACTGTAAGGGAACTTCGCTTATAGAGGTTTTCGAACACGCTCTTTACGAAACTCGTGGTCTTTAAGGATTACAGGGTCTTTTTAGTGAGATACGGTAAGGTGACTGTAACTGATTCACGAAAGTGCGTAACTTTGCCCGCACTTCTCGCGCATCTGTTAGAAAACTTGCCTGCTTGCTTTTATGGCTTGAAGTTGGTGTGAACTGTGCTATCGAATGGTGCATGACTCAGGCTCCAGTCTGTAAAATTCGCCGAGTTAAGAAACACATCCTCATGAATTTTGCCCAAAATGTAAAAAAAACGCATATTTCGTCGAAATTCCACCGTGAGTGCTTATGCAACACGTTGATCATTCTTTTCACATCCTTAATGGATCTTGTTGTGTTAGATTTCGTAATTTGAGTTCTAGCCACCGAAATAGCTTTGATATACAACTGAGCAGCTGAAGCATACGCAAGTACCATTCAATACGGTGGGAGTCTTTGGGTGAAGCGAACACAACATCAGCAATGCGAATGTCATACAAGCACTCACGGTGGGATTTCGACGAAATATGCGATCTTTACATTTGGGGCGAAAGTCATGAGGATGTGCTTTCGTAGGCTCGTAACTCGGCGAATTTTTCAGACTGGAGCCTGAGTCATGCACCATTCGATAGCACACCAACTTTCATCCATAAATGCAAGCAGGCAAGTTTTCTGACAGATGCGCGAGAAGTGCGGGCAACATTACGCACTTTCGTGGTTCAGTTACAGTCACCTCACCGTAACTCACCAAAAAAACCCTGTAATCTTTAAAGACCACGAGTTTCGTAAAAAGCGTGTTCCAAAATCTCTATAAGCGAAGTTCCCTTACAGTTCAAGAGTATCAGTATTTTGACCAAAATCCATCGGCGAGCTTCCGAGCGTAAATCGAGAAAAAATGAAATTACTCGAGCATCTTGGAAAACTTGCTCATACTCAGACAATCGCCGGGGGCAGGCGGGCACCGGAAAAATAGTTGACTGATTTCTCGCACGCCGCTCGCGGATTTTTTTTGTAAAGCAATCAGGAGTTTACCGAAGACCGCTTGCTGAGTTCTCGATTCCTCAGAGATTCAGCAATATATCTGCAAAAGATAAGAGCGAAAAAAGACTCAACAGGCGGTCTTTCGAAAATCCGCTGACCATTCTCCTGGAATTTGCGAGCGGAATGCGAGATTTCAGCAACGCGTATTTTTCGGTGCCCGCCTGCCCCCGGCGATTGTCTGAGTAGGGGTTATCCGACCTGCTGATTACGAAAATCACATCTGCTTAGCAAGAGAGCTCATATGTTACGTTGAGAAAAATTTAGAACGACATGATTTTTCCAGAATTCAGTACTCTGCGTTGATACCACTGCTT